CATTTTCTTATTCCGCCTGTGTCAGCTCTGTATGTAGCTCTATATGTAGGGCGTATGATCCAAAGAACTGGACACCGGCTGCCAATGTACTGCGATTTTCTCACACCACCGTACTGCTTTGCGGGTCAGGCTTTGGCTATCTAGACTAGGCTCCGGTTGTGGATTCCTCAAGAAGATTCACCTGCCTTGGCCTGGACACCGTGGCAGTATTCGGCCCACATGTAAATCTTGAAACGTTTTTCTTTTTCAGCATTGTTATTGTACCATGATTTGTTTGGCACTTAGTCTGGATTTATACGTATGTGAAGTATATATATATATATATATGTATATATATATATATCAGTAGAGCTTGCTGACGGTTGGAATTTACATCTTTCCTCACCCTTGGCGATGGCTACCTGGGGTACCACAGAGTCCTTGTCACCTGTTTGATCACCGGAAGTATCAGCAACTGGTTTAGTTTGACTTTGTTTCGGTCTCTTACGAGCAGGCCTTTTAGGAGATCTGATCCCTAACGGCAACTTCGGATGTGTGTTTCTCAACCTAAACTTACATGCTTGCACGTACTTGGGGTAAATCTACTCTAGGAACATGTGGAGTCCATAGAGTTCCAGTGTCTGAGAGCTAGGGTGCTACACTGAATATGGTACGAAGCCTCACTGCCGTCACACTTTTTACCGTCCTGGACCTCGAGTTTACAGTTCTCTCTCCCACAGAGAAACTCACCCGCTAGGGCGGGCTTCTCAACATCGGTAGTGGACTGTTTGTGGGTTCTACCAGAACTGGACATTCTAAGAATACATGTACATCTTTGAGTCTTGAAGGCTCGAGGATTGCGCCCAATAGTCCCGGGTTTTGTATTTGTCTTCTTTTCTGCAGTTCGGTGCACGAGCTGAAAGGGAAGTTAATGGAAATAATGCGGGCTCCATTATGATGTCGCTGGGTTGAAGTTGCATGCATTGGGAAAACGTGAGAAGAGGAAATAAAGAATGAGAGAAGAGGGGGGTAGGAGAAAATGAAGGTGCCCCTCAGAAGATGAAGGCCAACTAGTGCTGGGGAAGGGTGAGTCCTAGATTTTGGTCTAGTAGGGTTGTGAAGACTCTTTTAGAGGAGGAATTCACAATCTCTAATGGGAGTTTATTCCATTCTGAGATGGCCATGTGAGTGAAGAAACTGGAGCTAATGAAGGTTCTGGGCCGGTGTTTCAAAACGTTTTCTTGGGTGTCTCTGTAAATATTCCAGATTAGATCAAGTGAAGAAAGGGCCAACTAAGCCTGGTGAGAAGAGGTTATATAGAAGAAATGGATCCCGTCTGATACGCCG